CCCTTGAGCCTTCACGCAGCAGTAAAAGAGGGCAGTGGTTAGAGTAGACCCTGCACAGATTCTCCACATACGCTTCTGGAAACATTGCTTGCCACGCAACATTACACACCGCACGGTCTAAACGCTTTGCCAGCACAACCCCACGTTGATTACGATACCAAGTAAAGCAAAGGCCCTTAGCCCCCATGTCAAGCAGATTACAATCATTCAAAACCTCCATGAATTGGGATGCCCTTGCCATCGAGAAGCGACCACCCCGACACTCCGTTGACGTCATAATTTCATTGAAGTCCCCAAGCACTAACCATGGTAGCGTTATCCGTCCCCCCAACTCTCGTAGATGATCCCAAACCCGTTGTCTGAGTTCCACTTGAGGATTAACATAAACGGCAGTACACACCCAACTCTTTCTTCCTTCCACAACCGTAAACGATATGGCCTGAGAGTGAGAGGCAAATTTAGATAGATTAGCAGAGCAAGACATCGCCATCAGAACCCAAATACCCCCAGAATGCCCCGTAGCCTCGATACTAAAACACAACTTATAGTCCATCTTATTCCAAAAGCTTGCCACCGAAGAAAACTGACAATGGGTTTCCAAAACAATAAAAATAGCCGGGTGATGGAGCCTTACTAACTCCGAAACCCTCCTTTTACCTTTGGCATTAACAGCCCCTCGAATGTTCCAACTTAAAATATTAAAATATGTATTCATTAAAACGGTAAGACACGACAGATACTCAAGCCATCATGGCCTTCTCTTCCAATGGCTGGTCATATTGCATAATATCCTCCATCCCTGGTAACTCCTGCCCACCATCCTCGTTAGCATGGCATGCGTCAATCGTGAAACCTGATTGGGGCACACTTGTTATCATATCCTGGTGCAATTCCCCCATCAACTCCTCGTGCACACGTGGGTCACCGAGAGAAGGATGGGTGTATGGGCTTCGGGTCTTATTCTTTTCCACGACGGAGTCCGTGTTCGCGCCAGCTGGAATGGCCCGTGATTGTTCACGAAACTCCTCCCCTCTGATACGTTTCTTTCGTTCACTATTGGCGCCCTTAATTTGAGGATTCCTATTCGGTGTGTGGTCCCTATCACCATGTATGGAACCAGCTGCATGGCCATGTTCTCGTGGAGGTACAGTCACCGCACGTGGGGTTTTAAAACTCGCACGTGGTACGTCAAGTTGCACACCCTTCGTGGGGTAATCTTGCATATTCCGATCCCGCTCCTTAATCTCCGTAATCCCATTATGAGATGCAGATCGTCCCTTGCTAAACGGTTTGCCAATATTATGTTTCCGATTTTGCCGTTTCACAATCAGCCAATCTCCATGCGGATCTGGCGCGATATCGCCCCTAACCTGCGAAGCTGATTCCTCTCCCATTGAAGCCGCCGAAACTGCACTATGTGGTGGCTCCCCCGACTGCTGCTTCGTAACCTCCTGCTCACCGACGCCGTGTGATGTTAGCTCAGGCCTAGTTGCATGCGGACAGTTCCGTAGGACATGTCCATAACAACCGCACGACGAACACAACAAATGCAATCCCTCGTACTCCACATTATACCAAACACCATTGAGAAAAAACCTCCCCACGACTGGTTCATTTAAATTTATCTCGACACAGACCCGTGCAAACCGTCCCCTCGTCATGTTCAAGGTATTAAGATCCACCTTGACTGGTTTCCCTATGGCCAAAGCAATTGTTAGGAGGACACTCTCATCATAGAACATAACCCCGAGACTTGGGAACCTGATCCAGACAAGAGTACTATCGACCTTCGTTGCTGAAGTTACGAACTCTGGGGACCATGGTCTAACAATCAGATAGTGATCAAAGAGCATCCAAGGGCCCCCGTGCATGACCCGTTCTCTGTCCGCCTCCAAATCAAACTTCACCATAAAGTAGCCATTTGACACGTCCAGCAACTCGAGACCTCCTTGAACCTTCCACAACGCAGGTAGTCTGTCCCGCAAGGTTAAGAACCCCACATCTCTCCCTAGCAACTTTATCACAAGACATTGTTCCCATGGTTCACACAACTGTTTCAATGTGGGTGCCGCGATACTGAATTTGGGTAGCAAACGATCCCCACCCTCAAACTCTAACGTCATAGCCCCCTCCTTGACAAGATCGCGAACAGTCGCCCGCTTAGCCGGGGCACCCAGTACCTTCTCCTTGAAAGTCACCGTCTGACTCATCCTGGAGCCCCCAGCGCCCCCATCCGGCGGTTCCGATGGTGGCTGGCTCCCCTCAGGCATGCCCCAAATCCTCTCCATTCTCCCGTTTAGATTCACATATATTACATAATTGATTATTTTCAGTTCACAAAATTCATTGTATAATCATAGGTGTCAATAAAATGAGAGAATAATGATAAATTTTTATTCACCATAAATCTTCTTTATTCAATGGGTATAAAAAATAATATTGGACTATCTTCAAAATCAACAATTGTCCTCATAATTAAGTTAATATAAAAAATTTTAGTATTTTTTTTCTCACTTACACACTTTATGAGAAATTTTTTAAAAGGTCATTTATTCCTAATAAATTACTTTAAGTCAAACACGTTTAATTATGAAGTTTTTAAGTGATGAACTATTGAAAAATAAATATATCTTGTTAATATAAATAATACAAATTATTTCATTTAAATCATCCTCAATTATATAATCTCACACTTATACAAATTTTTAGATTCCTCTCATTCAAGTGTACGATATATTTGGTTTCATATAATACTTGCTTGTTTCCTTTGTGATATTGTTTTATGTTATAGGGAGTAACTTTCACAAAATTTTGCATAAACTATGTTTTCAATGTGATATTCTTCTCATATTATTTGTAGGGGGAAACTTTTAAACTCACTTCCCACAATAGTGAATTCTTTGGGTAACTCCACACTAGCTAGTAAGTTGTTATTTATTTATTTTTTTAAATTATTTGAAATTGCTCTATTATAACAAAGACTAATACTCACTATTTTTTTACTTTCATTAGGAGGGTGCGAATCACCTTTAGTGGTGGTGAATTTGGTCGTCTAAATACATGGTAGAGGCCGGTATATTCTCTTCTAATCGTGACCCATTTTAATTGATTTAAGTGTATAGGAAAATGTTATATAACTATTTTTCTTGAGCATTTAAAGAACTATTAAGAACTTTACAATACAAACATTAAATGCTTTCATTTTGTGTTTGCAGGTATACACTACCCAATGTTAAATATAGGCTATGACTTGAGAAAAACCTTAATATGTGCCAAGATGCAGAGAAGGTAATGGTTGAAAGTACAAAAATTGACTTACAAGAGTTGTTTTATTACAATTTAAATGTCATTTTATCCATGTTATAATAGGTCTTAAGTGGTAGAAAAAGGCTTTTAATTTCTTCCTTTTAATATTGCATTTTCCTCCTTTTGTTGCTACGATGGAAATTTTATGATAAATCCAATTATTCATTTCAACATTTAAAGAAGCATGAAGAAAGTCATTTGATAAAAAAAAATTGTGTTATCTTTATTCCTTGTTAACTTAGAGATTAATGTATATAATAAAAAAAGATAGTGATTTTTTAATGCTACTAGTATAGCCACTGGAAATACTTATTAACTTTTACTAGCCATAAAAAAAGATTTTACCAACATTCGTCATAATGGCTAGTAAAACTTTTACCGACTTTGGATACATTGACCATAAATTAATTGTTGATAAACATCCTAGTGTGTATTTATATTGTCATTAAAAGGTAAATTAATTACCTCTAAAAATAACTTTTCCTTGCCTTGTCTCATTGCCATCCATAACTCCAATTAACGTGTCTTTGCCTTTGCTCCATTCATATTGTAATTATTGCTTATTTGCTTGTCTTGCTTGATTAAGCATTTGAGTAATATCTTCTTGAAGTTTCTTGGTTAGCCATAGTGCAATTTTTGTGATTTTTAACAATTTTAATATAAAAATAAAAATAGTCAAATAATACAAGCGAAACATTCTTTATGTTAATGATGTATTTACTATTCGTAGTTGAGAAATCATTTTCTCTTTGACCGATTTAACTCTATTTTTTATTTTTTGTTTTTTTTTTCTATTGAGAAATCGATTCCTCCTTAAACAATTTATATTCTATTATTTTTTATAATGGTTTATAATGGAAATATTTATTAAAAACATTAACGTTCTTAATAAAATTCGTAAATAACTATGAGAAGCAAGGTATTCAATGGGAGAAGAAAAATTTGGATCGATCATTTCATTTTTAATGTTGTGATTGATGGGAAGATGTTTTATCGCTTGATTTAGATAATACTTATGATTTGCATGATGCATATGAATTGCATAATCTTGTTCTACGTAATGGTGCAAAGTCTATGAGATTTGTAAATGATGTGCATCATTTGAAATTGCTTGATCATGACGAGACTTCTCTTACATGTAATGTTGTTTGTGAAGGGATTAAGCATGACGAAATACATAGGCATGAACAATGTGTGCTTGAAGATATGATATTTTGTGTGTCTAAGAATACATCACATATATTAGAATTTTTCAATTTTGTAATTTTTGGTTTTTGTAATTGGACATGTATTGGACAAATTTTAGTTCCCTAGAGTGGACCTTGGAGGATGCATCACTAGGACTTTAGTTTGGATTGAGTCTTATTAATTTATAGGTCAAACATATAAATAACTGAATGTTGACTTTTGTAAATAAAACATTCAATTTTGGTAATGAAAGTGCTTTTGTCTTATAGAGTGTTATTCTTTCTTAGGTTCTTGAGAAGAACCTAAGATTCCTATCAAAAGAATTTTATGTCTTTATGATGAATTTTTCCCAATTTATCAATCCTTAGGGATTGTGACTTTGTTTTTCACATTCTTTGTCTAATTCAAGTTTTATTTTATTTTTCCCCAAATTTCTTTTATTTTTTTTTCGTGAAATTGTTGTCAATGGATCCATTATGAATCCCATTGTTCATCAAAGGCTAAAGAGGGAGGGGGAAGCTTTTAGGTTGTGATTGTTGGAACCAAATACATGGAAGTCTTTTATCTCCTAAGATTTTGATGATAACAATTAACATTAAAAATTTATATTAAGAGTCTTGATAAAGTGAAGTTTTTGATAGCTTAACTCAAAAGAAAAATAAGGCGTTTAGTCAATGTTTTTATCAAAGACCATTTAGTATTTTTCTACGTTGTTTTGGAGCTAAGTGTTGCTTCTAATTGACATGCCTTATATGCTGATACATGAATATATATTTATATGACATTAAGTACCAATAACAAATACATATTCTTTAAGAAAAGAATGGTGTTAGTTATTTGTCTTATGGAGGACATGCCATAACTTTACCTGTTTTGGGTAAAGACAAAAGGAATATTATATTTTCTTATCCTTTCTTAGTATTTAGTGCACAAAAGACAAGTTATACCTTTGCAAGCACGCAAAAAATAGACTCTATAAGTCATTTTGTCCACTTGAAGTTGTCATCCTCAATGTCTTTTTTTGAAGTTTTTATAAAGAGATCCTTTTATATCGATCTGGATTAAGTTGTTCTGTTGACATTATTCTATGACTTTTTAAGTCTTATTTTACCCGGTTGAATTTTGCATAAGCATGTGACTTGTGTCTATTTTGGTAGTCTAGCATTGGTGTTATTCAATGCTTTAGTACTTTACTAATTGTAAATGAATTGCCTACTAATTCAAACTTGTAGGTTTTGTTTGGGAAGAACCCAAAACTTTAACACTATCTTGTGATTGATTGTTTGGTTAATTTTATTAATTAAATGATTTATGATGATTTGTTGTTTTAGTGTTTTAAAACTCTAAGAATTAAGGAATTATTATGAGTGTAATTGTTTAGGGATTATTTTTCATTAATGTTTAAGTTGACCAAGTTTAGAGGAAAATATATAAGATTTTCTGAAGACTTGAACCTCACAAGTTCATTTCTTCAAGATTCTAGAGAAAGATTTCAAAGAGAGAGACTTTAGAGCCAAAGGAGATAATTCTTCCTTCTGACTTCATAGAAGCCCTCTGATCTTTCCTCGAAGCGTAGATTGTAGTGGTAGAGTTAGGATTTGAGCTGGATTTGGAGCTGAGAATTGGGGAGTCCCATTTTTCATTGTTTTTCTACCTTTTCCTCATTTATAGGAAAATAGAGGTAAGGAAAGCTTGTAGATTGATACTTGGCATGTTACATGTGTTGATTGTTACCTAAATTCATCCATTTGTGGCTTTGTTGTTGAATTGAGAAGTGAAAGAACTTGATGTTTAAGATTTTGGTTTGCTTTGAGTATTTGAAGAAGAGTTGATGATCTAAGGTGTTCTTTCATATTGTGAATTCCATGAATTCTGAGTTGTTTGAGATATGTATACGCTAATTTATGGACTACATGTTAAGTTGGTGTAAATTAATGAATGAATTGGTATAAAGAAGTATATTTTTAAGGGTGAAGAACCTAGTTCTCGCCCAATGCAAATTTATGGTGCCCAATGCTCAGGCATGAATAGATGAACATTTATCCAAAATTGTATTCTTGCTCAACTACAAATGCGTGCCCAATGAGAGAATGATTATATGGTTAAGCTTGCTTAGTGAGACATGTCATGCTCGATGTAAAGATCCATAGGGGATCCTGTTTGTTAGCATGATATGCTTATTCAGCGAGCATATCCACAAAGCAAGTGGAACGCTCAACAAGGTTTTGATGCCCAATGACAAGCTTTAGGGGGTTTGGTCACCCTGTGAGCCAAAAACCTACTTGAGGAGGATATTGGCATAATGTTTCCCTTGTTGAGTGAGAGAGATGTCACCCAACGAGGAGCTCTAAGAGAGTTTGACTCTTCCAACAAGGGTACTCTCACTTGATGAAAGTCATATTATGTGATTTTTTTACTTATGGCCTTTTATGATATTATTTACACTACAAGAAAAATCAGCATTATCTACGGAAGAAATCCTTGGGGACTTCAATGAAATTATGACGTCAACGGAGTGTCGGGGTGGTCGCTTCTCGATGGCAAGGGCATCCCAATTCATGGAGGTTTTGAATGATTGTAATCTGCTTGACATGGGGGCTAAGGGCCTTTGCTTTACTTGGTATCGTAATCAACATGGGGTTGTGCTGGCAAAGCGTTTAGACCGTGCGGTGTGTAATGTTGCGTGGCAAGCAATGTTTCCGGAAGCGTATGTGGAGAATCTGTGCAGGGTCTACTCTGACCACTGCCCTCTTTTACTGCTGCGTGAAGGCTCAAGGGACAAGGCTCAGGATCG